CCTGCCCAGGGGTGACACCACCCACAGTGGGCTGGGCCCTCCCACATTACTCAACAATCAAGAAGGTGCCCCACGGACATGGCCACAGGCCAGTCCAATGAAGGGAATTCCCCAGTTGAGGCTCCCTCAACCCAGGTGTGTCAAGTTGACACTAAATCTATCCAGCACACTAGGGCTTCTTCCAGTGTTGATTTTAAGCTTTATTGTATTGTAGTCTGATAGAAAGCATGGAATTATTTCAATGTTTTTGTATTTGTTGAGGTTGTTTAGTGTCCTAGTATGTGGTCAACTTTTGAGAAAGTTCCATGGGGTGCTGAATAGAAAGTGTATTCTTTGGTGCTTGGATGGAATATTTAGTAGATGTCTTTTAGGTCCACTTGATGTATGGTATCATTTAATTCAGACATCTCTGTTTAGTCTTCATCCAGCTGACGTGTCTAATGGAAACAGTGAGGTATTGAAGTCCCCTACTACTACCAAGTTGGGGTTAATCTGTGTCTTGAAGTCCTGTAGTGTTGTTTTTATGAATTTGGGTGCACTAAAATTTGGCGTATATATGTTCATGATTTCCATATCTTCTTGGTTAATTGCTTCTTTGATCAGAACGAAGTGATTCTCTTTATTTTTTCTGATTAGTTTTAAAGTCTATTTTGTCAGATATTAGTGTTGCAACTCCTGCTTGTTTCTTAGTCATTTGCTTGGAATAGTCTTTTCCATCCTTTTACCTTAAGGTAGTGCCTGTCCTTGAAGGTGAGATGGGTTTCTTGCAGACAACAAAAAGATGGATTTGTTTCTTAATCCATTCAAGTAGCCTGTGTCTTTCAACTGGGGAGTTTGGTCCGTTGATATTTAAAGTTACCATTGAAAGATATGCATTGGTTGTCATCATTTTGATTACTGTTTGCATTCTTTGTCTAATTTTGTGTTTCTACAATTATACTTTCTGTTGCCCCTGGGGTATAGTTGTTCCTTTCTCCGTTCTTTGTATTGCTTCAAGTATTCTTTGAAGGGCTGGTGTTTTGGATATGAATTCTTTCAGCCTATTCATGCCATGGAAGATTTTTCTTTCCCCTTCAACTATAATAGGTATTTTTGCTGGGTAAAGTATTCCGGGGTTGGCATCTGTGGTCATTTAGAACTGGGAATACCTTGGTCCAGGCTTTTCTGGCTTTCATAGTTTGCAATAATAAGTCAGCTGTAATTCTGATGGGTTTTCCTTTATATGTGAATTGTTGATTTTCTTTTGCAGCTTTCAGTATTCTTTGTTCTGTACATTTATTGTTCTTACTATGATATGCAGTGGGAAGTTTCTTTTCTGTCCTGGTGATTTGGTGTTTGATGTGCTTCTTGTATTTGTATGGATATATCTTTCCTTAATTTTGAGAAATTCTCTTCTACAATCCTATTTAAGATCTGGTCAATACCATTAATCTGAATTCTTCTTCCTCTATGCCTATGATATAAACACCATGAAAAGACCAAATATTTATATCATAGGCATAGAGGAAGAAGAATTCTTGCATATTCCATTCCTGGGTGTTTTTTTTTTTTCACATTTTTCATATTCTTTGCTTGAGTGGTCCAATTCTTCAACTTTATCCTCCAGTGTTGATATTCTGTTTTCCATTGCATTCATTGTATCAGTGAGGCTTTCTCTTGTTGTTTCAAATGGGCTTTTAGGGTTTTTCACTTCCTTCTTCATTTCAGCCTGAGTTTTCTTTAATATTTCTATCTCTTGTGAGTTCAGTCAGAAGTTTATCTCTGTCTTTTAGTTCTTTGATTTGTGTGTTCGAATTCCTTGATCATGTTTATGACTGTTCTTTCAAATTCTGTGTCCTGGGTTATCTCTAGGGGGTTCTCCTTGTAGAAGTCTTCTATAGGACTGGTGGAGTTTGGTGGGGGCATACTGTTTTGGTTTTTCATATTTTTTTTTCCCACTGTGATTTTGGCATGTGGATTTCTTTTGTTGTTTGTGATTCTGGTATGAAACTCAAGCCTTCCTTTGTTGAGTTGAATTCTGCTTCTGTTCGTATTATTGGAGTGCCTTGGTTGTTTTCTTAACTGGGTATGCAAAGCTGGTTGGTCTAGATTTCAGGTTCTCTCAGATTTTATATTGGAGGGAATGGATGGCTTCAGAGCAGCTATTCAGGAGCTCTGACAGAGGCCCAAGTCAGGTTCCAGTCAGGTACACTCAGGCTTCCTTCTACTGTCTGGACCCTTACTAGCAGGCACTCACAGCACAATTTGGGAAGTTCACTAAGGTGAGGCCTGAAGTGATTTAGGCACTATCAGACAGTCTGCTAAGGTGTTAGCTCCTACAGTGGGGAAGAGAGTTCTAGCCCTAGTGAAGTGGGAGGGGCCTGACATAATCCCAACTAGGTGGTTGGGCACAGTGCAATTTAGGAAAGCTCACTATCCAGACACTCTCAGGTGGTCTGCTGAGGTCTGGGCCCCTACTGTAGATAGAGAGGTCTAGCCCTGGCAAAGTGGGAGGGATCTCACGTGGTATCAATTAGGGGTTTGGGCAGGGTTTGGCCATCTGCTAAGGTCTCAGCCCTTGCTTAGGTTTTCAATCCATTAACTCAACATTGTGGCAATCAAAAAAAAAAAATGTTATCAAGTAGACAGCATTATTCATTTGAAGAGCATACTTGCCTTTGGATTGTTTGCATCAAACAGACCAGTTGAAAGTCCAATCAGCAAGGAATTCTTGTTTTTAATTTTTGGTGGTGAATCAGAGTACGACCGAAGTGGAATGGATTCTTCTGTTGAACAGTGAATTGACTGAATTTGAGAAACCAAGTTCAAATGTTCAGAATGAACCACTTTATGGAAAAATGGTTCTGGTTGTACTGACTTTTCAACATCATGTTCAGAGTGTTGAGAATCATCTATTCCAGGTTCTGTGGTATAAGGGAGAGATTATAGGATATATCTATATAATTGTATTTAAAATTCTAAATTATATTGACTAGCATAATATTTAACATTAATTCCATCCAAAAAAATGTCACATCAAGAAAACAAAATTGGAGTATAAGTATGTACCTCATAAATGATCTTTAAGGAGTCATAGTATTTTAAGAAGGATTTAATTCAATATATACTTTCATTATATTAGAAGTTCTAAAATATAGAAATCCAAGGAAATGTGAAAACTATAGTTTAGACACTCAAAATTTTTCAGTTTGTTTCTGTTTATGCAGAGTGGAAAAACTGCTTATATTATCTTATGGTTAATATATTATCTTACATTTTAACCAACAGTATTTTAAAAAGAAAGCCACTTATTTAGTGTCCTTAGTATATTGGCTTAGTTTGAGCAGCATTTCTTTAATTTTCAACATTCAGTAAGTTAGCTTCCCCAAAGTTTACTGCTATCTTGCCACAATTCAGACTGACTGTGCAGATTCTTGTCGTCTATGCAATTACATTTTTAAAAGCATTATGATGAGTGATAACAAATGCTTGCTAGTTACATGTTGCGAACATTAAACAGATTGGTGTTAACAAGCCTTCCAGAAAGAATTAGATTAATACAATGATGCTTACCTATATGATCCTCACAGAGTTGGTCCACATTCCCCAGAAGACCATCTTCACAAACTTCATTTTGCAGAATGGCAACTTTATCTTCCAACCTACCACAGATAGGCAAGCAGAAACAAAATCAACAAACAACAAAAAACACGAAACCAAACAAGAAACCACCACAGTTTACTAGAAATAAAAGCCCTCAACAAAGAAAATGAAACAAGTTCACTAGTATCCTTTGATCCCTCTTGCAAATATTTTTCTCACTTCCACAGGTATTTTCTCTTACCAGCACTCTATATTTTCAATTGTTATATATTTGGGCAGAATGAAACTCTCTCCAGTTATTAACTATTAGTTACCAATCATTTGTCTGTTCTCAGGGTTTAAACTGACAGAATCCCTGTGAATGACTGAATTACAAATGCAATTTGTAAGAAATGTAACTCACCTAAAAATCACACCTCTATGCATCTATCTTGCAAACATTTATATGCACCTATGCAAAAATCCCTTTTTGTAAAATGTTAAGTCATTGCATCACCATAATTTATAACATCAATCAAGTGGGACACTTACTGAGTTATATTATATCCATATATTGGAATATCAAAAAAAGAGGATGACTTTCATGTATTAACACAAGAAAACTCCCCAGAATATTGACTTCTTTAAAATTAAGAAGCTGAGTATGGTGGTGCACACCTTTAGTCCCAGCAGAGAGAGCCAGAGGCAGGCAGATCTCTCTGAGATCAAGGCCAGCCTGGTCTACATAGCAAGTTCCAGGCTAGCTGGAGCTACAGAGAACCCCATCTCAAACAAGCAAGCAAGCAAACAAACATAAACAAACAGACCAAAAAATAAATAAACAAGGTGGAGCTGGAAAGATGGCTCAGCAGTTGAGACTGCTTGCTCTATCATGAGGACTCAAGTTTGGATCCCAGCACTCACACTGGACAGCTTACAGACACCTTACCTCCAACTCCAAGAGATCCAATGTGTCTTTTGTCTTCAGGTGCACACACATACACACACACACACCCCTTAACTCCAACTCCAAGAGAGCAACATACACACTATTCTAGTTTCTTTCTCCATTGCTGTAACAAAATACTCTGGCCAGTACGAACTTGGGAAGGAACGGGTTTATTCAGCTTATATCTCCCAGGTCACAGTTCATCAGGGAGTCCAAGAGAGGAACTCAGGGCAGGAACCTGGAGGCAGGAACTGGAGCACAAAGCATGGAGGAACGCTGCTTACTGGCTTGCTTCCCTGGCCCCTGCTCAGCCTGCTCTCCTTTTCTTTTCTTTTCTTTTCTTTTCTTTTCTTTTCTTTTCTTTTTTCTTTTCTTTTCTTTTCTTCCCCCCCACCTCTCTTTTGTCTTTTTGAGACAGGATCTCCCTGTAGCCACAGTTGGCCTGGATTCACTTTGGAGACCAGGTTGGCCTCAAACTCACAGAGATCCCCCTGTCTCAGCCTTTGAGTGCAGGGATTAAAGGCATGTGCCACCAAGCCCCACCCAGCCTGCTTCCTTATACAACACAGGCCCACCTGCAGGGGTGGCACCACCCACAGTGGGCTGAGCCTTCCCATATCATTCATCAATCAAGAAGATGCCCCAGAGACATGGCCACAGGCCAGTCCTATGGAGGCAATTCCCCAATTGAGGCTCCCTCAATCCAGGTGTGTCAAGTTGACACTACCCAGCACACACACATAAACAAAAACTCTTTAAAAAATATATAAGGTATTCCAGGTGTGATGGCACACACCTTTAATCCCAGCGCTCAGAAGGCAGAGGAGGTGTATCTCTTGTGAGTTCAAGGCTAGCCTGGTCTACATAGTAAGCTCCAGGCTAGCTGGGGCTATATGGAGACCCTGTCTCAAAAAGACAAAAAAAAAAAAAAAAAAAAAAAAAAAAAACCAAGTAAATAAATAAACAAGGTGGAAAACATTGTGTTTCCAACTGTATTTAGAAAGGGAAAAAGATTGTATTTTTGTTTATACATATCAAAAATTATCTGCAAAGAGGAAAGTATAGACATTGGTTGAATGGAAACATAGGCAGACATTTTACTGCTTACATGTAATTTATATATTTTTTACTTCTGAACCATTAAGAACCTATTAATAAATTATTTTACAGAATATTGCAATGAGGTTATTAAGTTACAATATTAGTTTATTACAGTATTATTTCTTAAAAGGCATCACTAAAGGGACCCAGGTTTTGAAGTGTAAGGAAAAAGACACAACATACGCAGAATCCTCTGCTTCCCTTTCTTCGCTAGTCCACACTTCACTGACAGCACAGGGCAAGCTCCCATTTGAGGTTTTCCTCTCTGGTTCTTGTAGAACTTCTGTTTCCAAATCATGTTCTTCAAAGCAAAAATAGGACAAGAGACACATCAAAGCCAAATTTGATGAAAAAAAGACCGAGTAAACTTCCTACAATGTATTATTACAATTAATATTAATGTTAATAAAGAAAAATATTTCATCAGTTTCATCATTTTTTTGTTAATCTTATAGTATAATTATTTCTGAATGATAACCTTTTTACCTTTTCAGTGTAATAAAAATGCTCAAGAGAACACTGTACATAGTATTTTTCATTATTATGTAAATTTTATACATTACTAAAGTTTTAATAGTATGTAAATTAGTTGAAAAAAGATACCAAAACTAATTAAAGAGTAAAGATATTTGCTGCAACAAATATGGAAAACAGGCTATAATATTAATGATTAATAAGAAAATTTTAATCTTCAAAATTTATCTTCCGGGGCTGGAGAGATGGCTCATTGGTTAAGAGTACTGACTGCTCTTGCAAAGTACCTGGGTTTGATACCCAGCACCCATATGGCAGCTAACAACTGTCCATAACTCCCATTCCAGGGGATCTGACGCCCTCTTCTGACCTCCACGGGCACTGCATGATACAGGTGCACTTATATGCAGGCAATATACTTATACACATAAAAAAAATTATCTTCCAACAGCCCCAAAATATAAAACAATAGCATTACCTGAACTTTCAGCTGACCTTGAGCACATTACTGAAGCACTGAATCTATTTCCTTTGCCCTCAAATAATTAATGGCTAGTGAACTACCTGTTTTTCTGGCAGAGACTTTTTAAAAAACACTTTACTTATTTATTTATATGAGTGTATACCTGCCTGAGTGCATTCGTACATGTGTGCAGGTGTGCAGAAGACAAAAGAGAGAGTTGGAGGCTTCAGAGCTGGAATTATGGGTGTTTGTAGGATTCCTAGCTTGTTGTATTGGTGCTGAGATTCAAACTCCAGTCCTCATGATTATGCACCAAGTGCTCTTAACCACTGAGTCATCTCACCAGGCCCCTTTTGAGACTTTTCAAAAAGAATTTTTTTTTTTTAATGAGTATGTGTAGATGCCAACAGAGGCCAGCAACAGGGTGTTGGATCCCTGGAGCCTAAGTTACAGGTAGTTGTAAGCCACATGACCTGATATGGGCACTGGGAACCAAACTCAGGTCATCTGGAAGAGCAGCAAGTACTCTTAACCTCTGAGTCACCTCTCCTGTACCACTGAGACTTAATTTTACAAAGCTGTTTTTTTCTGAAAGTTAACAGTGCTGAGAAGAGTTTCTTCATTTAACCTATCTGTTCCTTCCTGAGATCATAAACTATCTTAATTCAACACCATCCCTTCTTCAGGGAATGCAACAAACTTTCCTTGTCCATTTAGAATTTCCCAGTAACTTGTCTCATTTTGAAGGATAGAATCTAATATTACTAGTATTAGTAATATTAGGAGTAAGACTTAGACATTTTTTTTTTCTTTTTGAGACAGGGTCTCCCTGTAGTCCCAGCTGACTTGAAACTCACTATGTAGACCAGGCTGCACTTGATTTCACAGAAATCCACCAACCTGTGTCTGCCTCCCGAGTGCTGGGATTAAAGGTATGTGCCACCATACCTGGCAAAATTTCATTTTTTAATATATTATGCTTGTTAGATAAAGATGGAGATGAGATGGTTGGATTGGGAAAGGAGATGACACAAAATTACCGTCAAGAATGAGCTTTATTAGCAGAGAGGGCCTTGAGATCATGGGAGCCATGATCAGGTTTTGAGGTGGGAGAGCACTGAAAAGAGACAGTATTGCATATCAGAGAAAACATGAATGGGGCCTTACAGAGGAGAGGCTTCCCTATAAAACCTGGGAAGAAGCTTCATTTGGATAGCTTAAAATTAACATAAGAGTGACCGTACTCAGGAAGGGGAGGGGGGCGAGGTAGGGTGACCTTCAGAGAAATTCCCCAAACAAAGGGAAATATCTTTCTTTTTTTTTTTTTGAATTTTTTAAATCATTAAAAAACACACTCCAGAGCAAGAGTACATCTCTTTCACAAGTGGCTCTAAGTTTCTAGGTTCACAGTTGAATTAATACAGTTATACAATATTGAACTCAGTATAAGCCCCATAAGACATAAAATTGAATGAGTTTTTAACCTTTAAAAAAGATCTACATTTCATTTTAGAATATATTGTTCCTTGCAGAAAGACTCATTGTTTTTGCTATTAACACTGAGATGTTAGCGCATGCATCTCTAACCTGTATGTATCTATTACTAGTCATAATCAGTTGCATTTGGATCCTTGGGGCCTGTGTATGTCTATAAAGTCATCAGGTAGATTTCAATGGTAATTATATTCTTTCAGGGGGTGGTGGGAAGCTCCATATCACAGAATTAGTTACGCACAGCCTAGGTGACAAGGAGCATGCAAGAGCCAGCTACTGGGCAGGACCATAAATTAGGGGTTGTAAAACCACAGATGACTTCTAAACTCTCTGTCCCAGAGAGAGCATTGCAGGTAGACATGACCTGATTTTTTTCAGGCTGTGGGATCTGCCTGCTTAGAGTGACCAGTGTGTTTAACAGGTGGATCCATAATCTAATAGATCTCTAGTAATCTTTAGCCATATTAAAATCAACTTATTATCATTCCATAAGCTTGATTTGTGGCCATATTTTTCACAAAGGCTAAAGTATTTACTATATGACTCTTTGTAGTAAAAGTTTGCCAACCCTGGAACTAGGCTGTATAGCCTCCATTACGTGTACACTATTACACTAGTTGACTTATTTCCTTTTTAAATATTTACTTACTTTAAGAAAAGTACAATATACTGTCTCAGCTCAGGCTGAGCTGGGCTTACCTGGAGGGTACATGATAACATCACAATGATGCAGGCCATCTTGACAGGGCTTAACTGGGTTCCGCTTAGACTGAGTGGCTTAACAAAATTTATTTCCTCTTAGTTTCAGAGGCTAGAGAATTCAGTATCAGGGTATCAGAATACCAGGAGTCAGTTCTTGAGAAAGGGCCTTCTTCTTATGCTGACAGCCCTTCCTGTATTCTAACAGCAGAGAACAAAGGGCTGGCTCTCTAGCCTCCTTTTAGAAGCATGCTAATGCCATTCAAGAGGCTTCACCATATAATTCATAACCTAATTACCTCTCAAGGTTGCACCTCCAAATACCAATACACTAAGGATTAGATTTCAACATATAAGTCTTTTGAAGAACACAAACATCATTCCATCACAGATACTACTAACCATCTTCTAGTGAATATGATTATTATATTTGATAAATTGCAAGTGGGCACACATTAAGAGTCACTGATGCTCTTTGCATCCAGAAGGCTGTTTACCTTCCCCTTTCATTTAGGCTGGTGCTGACTGTCTTCACTAATGGATACAGAAATGATACTATTCCAATTCCTAGCTGAATGTTTAAAGAAAAATGGCAGCTGCTGCTTGGTATCTGGAAATCAAGCCATCACGAAAAAAGTTTATCTATCCTAGAAAAACCTAATAGCAATTCTTTTGAGTAAAAGAACTGGCAATTCATTTTGAATAAAATGAAGGAGCAGAACCCAGTTAAGCCCTGTCAAGATGGCTTGCATTAGAGTGATATCATCATGTACCCTCCAGGTAAGCCCAGCTCAGTACCTCTGGCTGGTGCTAGGTGGTGATGACACATCCAACTCTTAAGTGTGAGATAAAACCATTGTTGAAAATGACTGTTCTTTGGGGATGTGTCACAGCAATATTTGTTTACATCCTGTGACAGCACAGGACAACTGAAATCTAAGTTGAAATCTAAAGGTCGGGTGCTGATATAAAAATCTAAAACATATGTACTGACTTTAGAACTAGATAAAAATGATAAGCTGGAAGCTCTTCAAGGAAATGGTTGGAAGGAGCTTGACTAGTGAGAGAAAAGGTTATTGGAGGCTGGAGAAAGGGGATTCTTGTTCTGTAGAAGTAGAAAATTCCATAGCTACAAAAATTAGGAAGATAGGAGCAGGCACAGTGGCACACACCTTTAATCCCAGCACTTGGGAGGCAGAGGCAGGCAGGCGTTTCTATGTGTTTGAGGCCAACCTAGTCTACATAGTGAGTTCCAGGCCAGCCAGGGCTATATTATGAGACACTGTCTCAAAAAAATAAAACGACAAAAATTAGGGAGCTAGAAAATGCACTTTATTGGATTTAATGACCGAGGTAAAGAGCTCTAGAAGGAGAACTGTGGAAATGCCTGCTAACTCACCTCCAGTGGCCTCTGAGAGAGTACAAAGGAGATGGATGACTGCAGAGACCTCTAGACTATAAACAGAATTTAGAAGAGATACTGAGGGCCAAAGATAGTTCCTTCTGGGCAGCAGAACTTTTTCTCAGAAGACATAGCCTCAAGACAAAGACCACATTCAGGGCAGTAAATGAGCTTCAGGGGAAAGAGTGAGACCATGAGCTGTTACACGGCACAATTGAATGTGAATGTCTAAGCTGGACAAAAGGGCTTAAAATGATTCAAGAGCACTGTCTCAGAGACTTTTCAAGGACTACTCATGGCAGAGAAGGGCCTTCCTCAAAAAAAAAAGAATAAAAGGAAACTCAACTTATAAGAAGCAAATGGACAAACATGGCTCAGTAGCGAAAAGCCCTTAAGACACGGGAAGGCTGACAATGCTACTCCTGGCTGTCAGAATTTCTATAGACTAGCAACAGTGATTAACAGTGGATGTACTTGCCCATTCTCCTTCTAGAAAAGGAGTCTCTAGGATCAAATCACCATTGTATGCTGGGGATATGGAAGGCACCATCAGGTTAGCTTTAACTGTCAACTTGACATTCTATATAGTCATCTGAAAGGAAAGCCTCAATTGAGGAATTGCCAAGATGAGACTGACCTGTGAGCATGTCTGTGGGGAATTGTCTTGGCTGTTAATTGATATAAGAAGGCCCAACCCACTGTGGGTAGTATCATCTCCAGGCAGGTGGCTCTGAACTATATAAGAAAGTTGTCTAAGTATAAGCCAGTTTGGGAGCCAGCTAGACAGCAGCATCCTCCATGGTTCCTACTGTACTTCTCTGACTGTGAAATAAGTTCCTTGGTCAGAGGTAATACTGTATAGAATAGTAAGTAAGCAGGCCTGCCATCAAGTTTCTGCCTTGATTTCCCTCAATGATGGACTGTACCCTGGATTTTATAAGCTGAATTAAACTCTCTTCTTCCCTAAGTTGCCTTTGGTCAGGGTGTCTGTCACAGCAGCAGAAATAAAAGTAAAACAGTAATTAACATCTTTTGTATTTAACAAGTCTTTAGATTGTGAATACTTGAACTGTTCCTAAGAAAATGTGTGGACAGGCGATTCTGGTAACATTTCATAATGTTGTTAATGTCATAATAGATGAGTATCTGAAAAGGGGTAAATGCATTTTCTGTGGAAGAAATGTAATAATATTTAGTCAATGGGCAGACTGTGGCAGATTAAAGATAGTGTAAGTTCTTAAACGTTCTACCCTTTGACTGACTTGTTTCCTACCTTCGACTGACTTGCTGGGTGTGTGACAGCTTTGACCAGTGGAGTATGGTAGATGTGCTAATGGTACCCAGCCAGATCTCTGACTAGCTTTAAAGAGCATACATAGCTATGCAGCTTCTATGTTAGCACCTGACATTCTTTAAAATGTTTCCATTTGAGGGACAATCCATATTTCCCTCCCTCTGACTCTCATGGAGTCATCAGAGAAGAAATCACATAAGACAGGAAGGATATAAATAATGGTATGGAGACTCCACGATGGGGGAGGGAGGCCTATCTTAACGCAGCCTTTTGACTATACCTTCAAAGATAGCAAGAAAGCCACCCTGGACCCTGAGGCCAGCCTCACTCACAGCTAATAGCAAACCAACTGATCTTTGAGGCAAAGACATGTTGTCCTAGTTTGTCTCTCCATTGCTGTGACAAAATACTCTGACTACTACCAACTTGGGGAGGAAAGGGTTTATATTATCTTACATCTCCCGGGTCACAGTTTATCAGGGAGCCCAAAGCAGGAACTCAGGGCAGAAGCCTGGTGACAGGAGCTGGAGCACAGGCCATGGAGGAACGCTGCTTACTGACTTGCTCCCCTGGTCCCTGCTCAGCCTGCTTTCTTATGCGGCACAGACCCACCTGCCCAGGGATGGCACCACCCACAGTGGACTGGGCCCTCCCACATCACTCAACAATCAAGAAGGTGCCCCATGGGCATGGCCACAGGCCAGTCCAATGAAGGAAAGTACCCAATTGAGGCTCCCTCAACCCAGGTGTGTCGACATGAAAGCTATCCAGCACACATGTGAATTAGGAGAATCAGCCAAGTCTTGACTTAATCCCTCATACATAAAATAATGAAATTTAATGTCGAGGTACTAGTTGGGCATGGTCATGTATACCTGTAATTCCAGGACATTAGCAGTGAAAGCAGGAGGATCATGAGTTCCAGGAGGCTAGCCTGAGCTATGCTGTGAAACTGCTGAAAACTCTTGGTCTTGAAAATAACCAAAAACTAATGAGGGGGGGCAGTTACTAAAAGCATAAAAATAGTGAACCTAATTTGAGCTAAATTACTCTAAGGCATACACAATTTTTAAAAATAAAGACCTGTTCATAAAAAAATTAAGTATCAAACAAAATTTAGCTTGTTTTAATGCATCAGAACATACCTTCCATATTTCCTACGAGCACCAGTGGAGATGCCTGGCTAAACTCTAGCTTTTCTGTCTCAACAGAAGAATCAGTGGTAGCTGATGAATTTATTTCACTTGAAATACATTTTATTTTTTCTTCTTCTTCAATGATTGAGGCTTTACACTTTTCTACTTCAGGAGAAATCTCTATAAAAACAACAAAAAAAGAGAGAAAAGTCCTGCTAGTCCTCAGTGTCCTGAAGGTGACTTTCAATGACACTTAGAGCAAATGCCAAAGACTGCACTGTCACAGGTCTCTTACCCATTAGAGAGAAATGAACAATTTGAAGTAATAGGACAGCCATATTTCACCTCAGTTTATATGACTTCTGTGGTGGACAACATGTTTTACATTCTTTTCTTTTTTGGATGAAATGAATATACATGTATCAGAATAGACTTTTAAAATTATTAGCCAATTGTCTCTGTTCGTACATAACTGATTTCTATTTCTAATTTCCTATGAACTCTCCATCCTTTCACCTGTTGCCCGGAAAGAATGGTTTTACCCCAGAATAACTTGCTGCAGCTCTCCACTCTCATCACGTGCATCTGCTGAGCACTGACCTTGGGCACCAACTCCTCAGGATGAGTTCTGTCAAGTTAGATGGTTTCTATATCTACAGTAAGTAATCCTGCATGCACCTGGACCTCTGTTCAGTGAATGTCACTCTTCCTCACTACCTCAGTCATTCTAATGTTGTATCCTAGAAATCATCATTAGCCCCTCAAATGCTCCAATTCCGAGACTCTCAATCTCTAATCTTCAACGTCTATTTTCCACTCACCTCTCCCAACCTGCATTTATACCCACCCAAGTTCATTAGACTGTTGTTCTACATACATCCTCAGCTCACTAAACTCACTTCATTATACACATGTGGAAAAACCCTAATCCTGTCAAATTCAAATCAACTTGTGCATGTGCCTGGTTGACATGACTGGAGAAAACCAGAAATCCTTTCTGAGTGTGGCAATGTTAAAGGGGCAGTAAGACCTTTAAAACATGAAGCTTGGGGGCTGAGGAGATGGCTCAACAGTTAAGAACACTGACTTTTCTTGCAGAAGACCCATGTTCGAATCCTAGCACCCACATGGCAGCTAACAACTGTCCGTAACTCCAGTTCCAGGGGATCCAACAGCCTCTTCAGTCCTCCGCAGGCACTGCACGACATGGGCGCACTTACCTACATGCAGGCAATATATGCATACACATTAAAAAAAAAAGATGAAGCTTAATGGGAAGTCATTAAGGGTACTGCATTCATGATATATGACTAGCAACCTCCTAACCTTTTTTTTTTTTTTTAAATCTTTTTGAGACAGGATCTCCCTGTAGCCCTAGCTGACCTGGAACTCACTATGTAAACCAGGCTGGCCTTGAACTCACAGAGATCCGCCTGCCTCTGCCTCCTAAATGCTGGGATTAAGGGTACGTGCCACCACACCAGGCCCTAGTCACCTTCTTTTGCCCTTTCAGCAACATATGTACAGGCTTAGATCACAGTTTAATTTTCAGCAATTCCACTACAGAACATGTCAAGAGACTCATCTTCTATGTCATTTTTCCACCACTTCAGATATGAGTTTCACTCTAAGTCTCAAGAAACAATAGGAAAAATGGTGCAAAAAGTGATACATACAAATATGTTCATGCCTAGATGTAGTTCCAAAAGCCATGAACACTCCATCCACTTCCTCACATGTGAACACGCTGTTCAGTGTCAAAGGCTTTTGTATTTACAGGCACACCTCCTCATGCACTACTGTAACACCAAAACCCATGAGACTCCTGAATCTTGAATGACTTCCTTCTGTCTTGTGACAGCTCTCTCTCCCAGTCTTATAACAATGTTGTTACACATACTTAACAGAAATGTCTTTTAGTCAATTTAATTCCTGAATCTACTTCAAAAGACATACATTCATCTTAATACAATGCTTGTATGTTTTTCTAGGTGGAAAACAATGTTCTGACTTTTCTAGTTCCCATCCTATTCTTTTTATTTTTAGATCTCATCCAGGTCATAACCAGTCAGAATCCAACTCACTTTTAGGACAAAAAAACCTCTAGAAATTAAAATAATTTCCTATCTTATTAGAACACTACAATAAAGAGATGGTATGATGGCTAATCCTGGGTGTCAACTTGACTGGATCTGGGATTAACTGAAATGAGAGAGATCTTCGTGATTGGATCATGTGAAGCTGGAAGACACACCCTAAATGTGGGTGTTACCTTCTGATGGCAGCCCCTACAAAAGGCCATGGCAGAGGAGAGCGCTTGCTTTTTGCTGCTTGCCTTCTCTCTCGTTTGTGAATTCCTCTTGCTGCTCTAGACTGAAGACTAGCCAATCTTTGGGAATTCATCAGACCTTCAGTGCCAGATTGGGACTACTGAGACATCCAGCCTTGTGGACTGAGCAACTGCTGGATTCTCAGCCTCTCCAGTGTGGTGCAGCCATTGTTGGACTACTTTTCAGACTCTATCCTGTGAGCTAAACTGATAAATCTCTATACATATATATTCATTCTACTGGTTCTGTTTCTTTGGAGAACCCTGACTAATACAGATGTGCTATTTAAAATAATTCACGTAAAATGGAGACAACTTAAAATACACAATTTTAATAGTATTACTTATGATGCTTACCACTTTCAATAGCTGTGTTTTCCAACAGTTCTGTCTGAAGCTGAAGCTCAGCTTCTCCAAGTATCTTCAGCACTGAATCTGTAGGGCTTTTCCCCCAAACTTTTCTTGGAGAGCCATTAGGATCTAACTTAATAACCTCTCCCACTGTATGTTCTATAAAGAAAAAGATTCAAAGAAAGAGTTTTCAAAGACAGAACATAACAATAATGCATTGTTTGTCATATTTAATTAGTTTTACCCAGTTAAGTGTCTCATGAAAAAAATTCGTATCAAAGAGAAGATAAATCATAAGGTAAATATACATATTGGTTAAAAATAGAAAAAGAGTACTTCCAAGAAAACCTGCCATATCATAGTTTATACATCATAAACAGGCAGCTAACATTTTCCTTTAACAATAATTCTGGACAAATAATTTAAATAAAATTTAGCAAAGGAAAAAAATTATTAAGAGTTTGAGTCACAGCTAGGCATG